GGCGGGCTAGTGGGGACGGAGCGGCTGAAGCTGACCGAGCTGGGGAGACCGTGCGGCGTCCTGCCGCGCAAGGGAGCGCCGGCCTGCCACGGGCGGCAGCACGAAGCGCGGCGGCTGCATTGGTAGTGCGGCGGACGGGCGGCGGCGTCCCGCGGCCGGCGCGGGCGCGTCAACAAACCCCCCGCACCTTGCCCATCGCGGACAGCACGACGCAGGGCAGGTGCTCCGGGAAGCCGCATATGATGTCGGCGACCTCGCGCATGCGCTCCGCATCGCGCACGGAGGAGCCGCCAAATTTGTACACGACGTCCACCTGGCGCGGGGCGGCGGTTGAGGGGTGTGCAAATCGCAGGCATGCGCGCGCTGTGTGCTGGTCTTTGCTGCAGGGCGGACGCGCGCCCGCCGCGGCGCACGCGGACGCGCCCGGCGGCTGGCGTATGCGGATGCGGGGCGCGCACACGTCGAAACGGCGCGCGGCGGCGAGCTCAGGTGCGCATCATCGGGCAAGGCAGCGGCGGAAGGCGGGGCGGCACTGGGTCGGCGACGGAATCGCACCTGGCTGAGGCCACGGCCGGGGGCAGACAGGCTCGATACTGGGGCGGGAGGAGCTGGAGTTGCCGTAGAGCGCATCTGCACAGTCCTACGGCTTGACTTGGGACGATGAGCCTGGCATCTCATTGGCACGCTGGCCGGCTGGGCCCGCGCATTGCCCGGGATAGGGCGAGGGGGAACGGCATTTTTCCCAGCCACGGAGGCCACCAGTGCCTGCCGACGGAGCAGCATGGCTTCTGCACACACTACTCGCTCGGGACGATGGTTGTGTTGGCGCCAAGCCTCCAACTTTACTCTCAACGAAATGCGACACGAAAGCTTTGTTGAATATATGAACGCACGCAGGCTCTACGGTCGCCGCCTTCAAATCCCACTGTCTCACAGTAACAAAGTCGCTGTGGATCCCGCAAGAAAGGGGGTTTCGCGGGAAAATGTGAAAGTATATGAAGTGGCGGATGCGCTGAGTTTGTCCTGCGCCAGCCGCCAGTCAACCCTAGCCGCCTGCTGGTCAGCAGGGGGCCGCATCATCGTCACGTGCAGACGCGCATAATCATCATGGACTGTTTGCTGAGACGAGGGCAACATTGGTGGTCTTGATTGCCAGCGGTGTTGCCGGAGGCAGGTTGCCCACAACCCAGATAAGCCACGGGTTGCCAAGTGCGCGCTGGCAACAACAGCGGAAATCCGAGCCAGCCGCTGCCAGAGTTGGAGCTCTCGACCCTGTCTTGCCTAATTATCAACCATTGCAGTCGCCAGACAGAAGACGTGCAACCGTTCATGAATCCGTCGACCTGCAGCATTGTGACTTTTGTTGAATCACACGGGGCAAATGCCTTCGGCCCACCATGCCCATGTGACCTGTACGGTAACGCGAGGTAGGGGTGGGCTGCCACGCCTGCTACCCCTGGCTCCTCGCCGCCGCCCGCTCGCCCTCGCCCTTGAGTCGCACTCGAACTTGCTGTGTTACATCTGCCTCAGATCTAGAATGCATGCAGGTTGGGGTACCTACTGCCCTGGCAGGCCTGGCAGGCCGAGGTTCTGGGCGAGGCCCCGCATCTTCTCCTTCATGCCGGCCACCGACTTGCTGTGCGCCTCCTGCATCGCCTGCGTCACGCGCCGCGACAGCTCCTGCGGGGACAAGCACGGGGGCCCGGGGGGTAAGGGGGCGCAGTGAGCTACTGCGCGCTGAGAGAGGCCGCCGTGCTTGAACAGGCTTCCCAGGTGGTAGTTGAGGCGAACATCCGCCTTGCCAATCGCCACGACGAGAGCAGGATGGCCGGCGACCTACCGTTCAGTAACACTGCTCAGACGCTTGCTGCTCAACACCAGAACCAACGTGCATGCAGCAGCCAAATGCCACCCGGATGCAGATTGAGTACCCCCGCGCCTACCGCCCCCAATCCTGCAACGCTGTGCCATCCCCGGCGCGCGCCCCCACCTCGGCGCCCGCATCGATGCCCTCCTGGGTGATCTCCACATTCTTTGGTATCTGGTTGCCGCTCAGCACCACCTGCATGCGCGCGAGGTGGGCGAAACGGTGTTGAAGCGGCTGGGAGCCTGCGGGACCGGTGCCCTAAGGGGGTGTGTCTGCCTGCGAAGCTCAGCAGGCCAGGGAGGGCCTCGGCTCGCTCGCATGAGCCCATGAGATTGCGTCTGCTGCCCACACGCGCGCTCTGCTCACCCGCACGGTCTCCTCGTCGTCGTAACCGTCAAACTCGGTGCTGTGCGCAGGGACGCGAACCGGAGGGCGGCGGGGGTCGCGGTTTTGGCGTCCGTCGCGTGGCGCACTGCTGCTGCATCCATGCGCGCTTTTAGACCCGACACCCGGCGGCAGCAGATATCGCAGCACGCGCAGTGAAGCTTGAAAATCAGGGGCAGCACGCGCCAACGTAAACGTGCGCGTGTGAGCCCGCTACACACACATGCGCCCAGTCACCTCTCAAGCTCCTTCTGCACGCGCTGTGTCTCGACCTGCACCATCTCCTGCGCCTTCTTCACGCTCTCCATCAACTTGCCCATGTCGCCGAAGGGGTTGCCCATGCCGCCGCCGCCCTGCAGTTGCATGCGCACCGCGTGTACACGACGCGGCCAGATTTGCTGGCCCGCGGCCGCCGCAGCATCCTATGCGCGATCCCTGGCGCTAGCTCTGCTGCTTGCACCACCACTTCCATTTTTAGTAACAAAGAACACTCAATGGCATTGATGGGACGTGGGGTGATCGACAGAGAAGAAGCCACGAGTGCACAGTACTCAGACCGCATGGACCTTGTGCCGCGTGGGGCAGCGAGATGGGATGCAGGGGCTCACCTCCTTGTTTCCACCAAAAAGAGCTTTTACCATCACAGGCCGCCTGCTGACCACTGCACTGCGCCCCCGGGCTGCGGGGGTGGCCCGAAGCGAAGCCTGAGAACGAGCGAGCATCATGTTTGCAGCTGAAACACGTGATGCAGTGAATTCAAATTTTCGACTTAGGGTGGTGAGGACATGAACGGCGCACCCAACATGCAAATGCAGCAGCAGTGACAGGCGCCTGCCAGCGACTGGCTGCTGTGATGCCTATGAGACATGTTGTCGCTGCTCAGGACACTGTGGATCGCCTTGGCTAGCCCCTAGTCACATAGCTAATGAGCTCAACCGCGACGGGGTCAAGCACGAGCCTCTGCGCCGCAAGTCAACGGCCTGGCTCTATCTGTTTGACCACCATTGCATGTGGTGCGGCTGTGTCCTGGTGGCGGTGGCCCTCCGTCTGAGCATGCTCCACAGCAATGCAGGCTAAAAACTGCCAGGCTATAAAATGTATGCTGTGTCTTACAAAGTCATATTGGCGCGCACCCAGGCAGCCAGGACTAGATGCAGAGGATGCGTACAAGGGCCAGGTCCGGCCCCAGTCGATGGCTCCCAAAAAATCAACAACTGTGAGCAAACATATGACTCAGCAACAGAAGACGTGATAGCACACCGCACACGCGGTGCGCCGCAGTTGATGCCATGGTGGTTTACTGGCGGCACAGACAGGGCAACACCCAGCCACAGCCTCTAGAAGTGCAGCTACACCTTTGAAGAGCAACACACAAGCCAGAGCGCAAGGAAGAGATTGTGATGTGAGCGCTCGCGACTGTGCCTCAGCAACCACTGCGGCGCTGCAGGCGTCAAGCGCCCGGTGCGGCGCAGGTGGGTGTGTGGGTGAGTATGCCTACTTTCAGGCGGCCTTGTGGCCCTAGCCTTGTGTGCACATGCATGTGCGTGCGTGTGCGTGAGTGTGAGAGGACGTGGCGTCATGAAGCAACCCGATCTTTGCTGGTCATATTTTCAATGCAGCATCACCACTTTCCAAGCAAGGCCCGTCTCAGGACCAGGGACCGAAGTCAATCATGAAAAAGCTGTGGTAGCCAAGATCAAGGCGTGAGGGACACCCAACGCAATCGTGGGGGCCGTCGAAGTGGGGTGGGGCCCGAGATGTGCCTCATGTCAACAAAGAAGTGGGTTCAACCAACGCAGGCGGCGGCGGCAGCCGCCCGCTGTACCCGCGCGGGCGGTGGGTAAGGGGGTGCTCAGGGTTTGCAGGGAGGGGGAGGGGGAGGTGCGGCGCGGCGCAGCGCCGAGGGGGCGAGAGGCTTGAATAGGCGCTGATACAACTGTGACCTCTTCCCACTGCGGGCCCGCCGGCCCCTGGTGAGGAGTCGTACCGGGGCGCCACAGGCGGCCAGGCAGGCAGAGCGGGCAAGCACAAGGCTCCGCTCCTGAGTTCACAGCGGTGGGGTTGGCGGGCAGGCGGCGGGGCACAGCCGCGCCAGCATGGGGTGTGGCCCGACCAACACACCTCGACCACTCTAGTTTGTCGCCCTCGCCTTTCAGGTGAATAAATCAAGTGCAAGCATTTGCCATAAACAGCTGGAGCACCCGACACAGCGGCCTCAACTCCGACCGCCGAGCCCTGGCCCACGCGACGATCCAGGCGCGCGCGCCGCTCCGGCGCTGCCTGAGACTGCCTGTCCGCCTTCCGCGCACATGCGCGCGCCGCGACGTTGCGCTGCGCGCCGTGTCACACGATAACGAGCGGCCTGTCGCGCCAGCCGTACGCGTCCCGGTGCCGGTGGTACAGCGCCGTGAGCGCGGCAACGTACGCGGCGTGCGCCTCGTCCACTGCGGCGTCAAAGCCCGGGTCCTCACGCGCCACCTGGCGCACTGTGACGGGCGTGCCGACAACCGCCATCAGCTTGACCTTGAATGGCAGCGGCAGGCCCCAGCGGCCGGTGATGATGCCCAGGGACACGCGCAGGCGGCGCGACAGGGTCTCCAGGAGCTGAGGCGGTGGCGCGGGCGGGGCGGGGCACATTCAGGGCGCGAGGCGTGGACGGAGCGAGGGACGCCGTAGCTTGGGGGTCGCGGATGCGTCCGGGAGAGCGCTGGTTCGAACGGAAGCGGCGCAGCGCGCCTGCTGTTGCTGCTGTGCCGCGCCC